CGAGAATGCAATTTCTGACATTTTGGGATTTTGCAAACTCCAAAAACGGTTCACAGAGCTCTGTGTCAGTACAAGTACATTCACTACACTAATAAGAATGCATTTTTTACCTCTTGTTGTTGCAACTTTCATAAAAGATCTCTTGATTGTTTGGTTTGATATCATAACTGTTGCATAGCGTCTCAACAGATAAGATTTCTGAAGCGATAAAGAGGTGACACGAACACAGAGACACACATATCCTATTTAGCCAGGCTAATCAAACACTGCAATATGAAAGGCTCAATTTCAGCACATCACGCAAAAAAGCTTTAGGTAGAGTAATAAAAAGCAATCCCTTAAGTTGGCAGATTTCAATAGGCAAATATCATCCACTTTCTTGTGTGTAAAAGCAAGATGGAGAAGGGGGAGCTGAAACCCATTTTTATTGGCTACTAGAGTTTCCTACTCAACACAAGTGACATTGTGTTGTTTATATCGAGACAGGACGTAGCCACCATATACATAATTTGTGATCGTTAGAATTAAGATGTTATAAGCCTACTGATCATAATGTGTCCAGCGAGTAGCTATGAGTATGGCATATTCTTCAGAATGACAATGGCTACCTGACAGACAATCTTCTTCTGAGTTCATTGTATAGACCATATGTATAATTATACCTTTTCCCAGCCTGTGAAGGCAGCTTCTGTGAGAAGGTCCTCAATCGAGAGTGTATGTCTCTGTAGCCCATACAAGAAGTGCTGTCCTCTCTCTGAGACTGTTTGTGCATTATCACAAATATCAAGCAAATAGCGGCACTAACCTTTTCAAACTTTACGACGCTGAAGAGATCAAAAAGTTGTGTGTTGACTGGTTTTGACTCTCTCCGGCCCATTTGATTCACGGCAGCAAACTGAGTGGCGTTGAGTTTGGCAACTGAGCTGAGGTTGGTGATGGCACGGAGGGAAGAGGGTTTGGGCATGAATCTGAGGTTGGACACACCCAGGGACCTCCCCCTGCTCAACAACATGTCCACTTCTTCCTGCACAGAGGAGCAGTGGAAGGGAATTGCGACTATTTTACACAAATTCAAACACAACAATGAAGGACAATGATTCTGTGAGAGAAATTGATGAACAACTACAAACTAACATACTTGATGGACTTGCTTAAACATTCCACTCCATTCTGTGAAAAAAAGGGACAGAATTATCGTTACCATGCCGTAGTTGTTATTAGTGTGATTGTTAGCCAATGACAAACATACACGAAAGGCTGGCTTACCATCGAGAGCATCTTGGCATAATTTGTCCCAAACTTTCTTCCGATAGTAAACCACTCTGTTGTGATGCTCTGAGTGCTCAGTTGCATAGAAAAATGGCTGCAGTATGTTTCACACATTGTAATCCCATCCCAAGGCACAGATTCATACATGAAATGCAGCAAAGAAAATCGTATAGTGTAGCCGGACCCTATCTCTACCCAAAAAGAAATGCAAACAAATCTCATACCTTCACAAGGTCCACCACCAGCTCCATGACCCAGCAGAGGAAACATGCTAACATCTCTTTCTGTTTTAGCATGTCGGACCGACCACACCCCCTTGCCCCGCCCCCCACCTTCAGCCAGGAGCAGTGAGAGGTCTTGATGCCATGCATCAGCTGGCGAACTGACACTCTCTCCCATCGCCTCAGGTTCACTATGTATCTCTGGAGATGTGCCAGCCCAGTCAAGTCAATAGCTACTGACATGTCTCTACAATAGTGAGAAGCTAGGTTTGCCAGGCTCCATATTCTGCCATGTTGTATGTGGATGGCCTTAGAAGCTTAGACAAAGTAAACTATGGATTACAGCTGTTCACAGAAGAGAAGAGCCTGGAAACCAGGATGAGACCAACTTATCTGGAGTACACGTTGGTACAAGTGAAGTAAGGATATGGGTAAAGAAACATCTCCTGTTACCGAGAGACCCCCATAATTGTTGTGGTATTAGAATGTTGAGAGTGCAGATCAGAAACTGTGACACCTGCGCAGTTAAGTGAGTGGATAAGTGCTCATACGTAAACGTGAAAAATATTATTATACCTTTGTTGGATTACATAATTTGTTGTACATATCATCCTCAGCATCCTGTAGATATTACGTAGGTTAGGATTACTACATATGACATCAGCTATCCATCAGCTTGCAGCACTGTTTACCTGGTTTTCCAGTGGTAAGTAGCTGTCAAGAATGCATGGAAGCTTCCTGCCCTACATGAATTGTCAGGCTGTTAGCACCTTTCAGAAACACTATCCAAATCTTACTTTCTTCTTGAAGTTTGATAGCAGAAGCTGAAAGTAAGGGACAACTGATTGGTATCTTCTTGGTAGTCTGCTTATCTGAAAGAAAGACACAATCTGTGTATGCCTACTTACATACCTAACAGTGACAGCTATACTCGTGTTTTTGACTGTTTTAGTGATTCCCGAGACATCCACTTGTCAATGAAAACATGTTTGACCAATTTCACAGCTCCTCTCCGAGAAGCCTTGAATGTTTTCAGGTTATCTGCAACACAGAGTATATATACTTTAGCAGTGCACGTCACAAACATCAATAGTGTGTGCACACAGCAATACGTACATTATGCTGTTGTATAGTATAGCTGACTATTACCATGTTTATGACATGATCTGCTAAAAGTATTGCATACGGGACTTCCTGAGGTACTCTTGCGATGATGAGCAGTACATAATGTCCTTCTTCTTGTGTGCTGTGCTCCAGATTTTCCGGAGATGCCTCAACTGCCACCTTTAGTATTGCATTCATATGAGACGGTCTACACAAAAGAGCCAACCTTTCAGCTGGACTTGAAGCATTTCTGCCTATCATAAAACCCACAAAACAACGACTTCATAAAGACCAAACTAACACAGCACTTACCACTGCACCTTCTCCTGAGGCGTGCAGCAACCCGTTTCCTTTTCTGGTAGAGCCTTCTCCTCCTCCTGTTGATGTTACGCAGTGATCGACCTCTGATGTGCCGACTCCCACTGTGCACTGCAGTACTGGCAGACTGTATAACAGAACACTTGCTGGTGGGTGGGTGATGTAGGACCGGGCCACCAGTGACGGGCAGTGGTGTCACATCACTTGTTCCATTGCTCATGCCAGAATGACTCCCTGCCAGCTTGAACTTCTTTGCCAGAGGACAACTAGCTCTGCTCTGCGTGATTGCAGCCGGTTGACCCACTACTTCTCCATCCATTCTTCTTTTGCCCGGACGCAGCTCAGTGAGCAGGGGGGTGTACGTGCAACCAATCACATTGTATATTGGAATTCCTGTGTATAAACATGGACTGGCTTGCAAACTGTTGTTGCATGAAGCGTAAGCTACCTGTGATCTGAACATAGTTCCTCCCAGAGCCCAGAGCAACAAAGAGTGAGGCTTTGCTGAGGATAAACTTCAAGGCTTTGTCACCAATCCTGTAGAACCCAATGCCATGACAAAGTTAACTGCAGTCAGGATCATATCATTGAAGTACCTGCTATGCAGTAGAGAGAGCTCGGTAGTGTAAGATGCACATCTCGACCACTGAATACAGATAGTGTCCACGTGGTACCGACAACTCTGCTTGCTATGGCAATCTAAAACGAAGTACTCACCGCTTGCTTGTCTATGGCTGCGATGATAGAATGCAGGGATTCTTGCTGCATGGGTGAAAACACACAGAGGTCGTTACTCCCACAGAAACTGCCTTTATGATTCGAGGCCAGAATGGTAGTGGTGCAGAACGAGCAGAAACTTGTTTCAGCATGTTGGGTCAGTTGAACTTTGCACAATTGCTGGACAGCTTCTTCCAGCAGGGCAGTGTAGCCGTACAGCTGGTGAAGGATTGACCAAACCGGCGAAGTCCCTGTCAACACACGTCAGTGTCAAAAAAAACATTCACTTCGCCTTACCTTCCCGCTCACATGGGTTCATTTTTACGCATGCGCTCACTATCTACGATTTCGAGCCTGGGAGCTGAGTCGAGTATAATATACGGGACGCGGGGCTGCGTAACTATTTGTGAGCGAAGCGAGCCAGCTAGCTATAGTAATCTTTGAATGAGTGTTCTCGAAGACAGCGCTAGGTCCAGCTATAGTTTCGTCCGTGTGTGGCGGCCTGAAGATGCCTAATGGCTTATTGTGTCAAACAACCCAGCCTTGGATGTGCTGAATTTGACAAAAGTTGCAGGGATGTGCTGAACTGAGAGCTGTGAACTTCACTGACTATAATAATTATTAAACTACTCTAATCAGTAGCTCTGGAAGTAGTTAGACTGCAATGAATCAGGTGCTGGACTGGCATTTGTTCTCGAGTCGTGAATCTGTCAAACTGTGGAGCTTTTAGACCAGCCATGTACTATACACCACAATTCCTATATTATAGTTGCTATAATTCATTCCCCACACATTTTCTCATCAGATGGCAGAGGGTATATTGATAAAACAAAGTGGTGGAGGACAATAATCTGTAACTGCCACTCATTAAGGGGTGGCCCTAGGGAACAATGCAACAGCTACAATGACTAAAGTCAAAGTGGAAACCCTTGGGGCAGAGCCGGAACTTATATACTCAAGTGATATTTTATATTGCACGTACAGCAGCTGCAATATTTGTTGTTTACTCACACAGAATTTGCAAGATGATTCAAAAAATGGGATGATAAAAGGTTACCAGAAAGAATTGAACTCCAGCAGTGGTGTATATCATTATTATAGAATGTGTTTTTGGCCGAGGCTCAGATGTCCAAAACCTACTTGAAACTGTAGAAATCAAGTCACACCATAGTCTCCACACTTGAATGTACATTAAAGTTCAAACTGGTTTGAAGAGTGTCTGTGTGTACATAGCTCAACAGATCCACACAGGGAGATAACGGAGAAAGCCTTGGTAGTAAAGCCACGTCCTGTTCATGCAGGTCTTCCTTTGCTGTGTGCATTATTTAAGTAGGTACATACACAGCTATGAATTCCCAATACGTGCAGCTCAAGAATTATTTTGCGTTAATAATGACAACTGCAAGTGTTTTGAAAGTAAAACTGGGTAAATGCAGCAGGCATTAGTTACACAAATTAATGAACAGCACCATTCAGTTTTGCTTGGAGTCTGGCAAGACTAGGAATAAAGGTGGAGGGATGCGGTGGTTCGGTCTGAGGGGTTAGTTGACTGGTAGTGTGTCTGTGTGGAGCATGTTCAGTGGATGATGATACTGGTGTGGCCCTCTTTGACTGCCTCAGGCCTGGAGTGGTTGTGGAAGGAGGAGGAAATGCTGGAGTTGTTGGAGGACGCAACGGTGGCTTGTAAGAGCTGAGTATTGCATCGATGCCAGTAGCCGGTCTGATACCATCCGATGTGTGTCCTCTGGTGGTAAGTGCAGCGGTTTTCTCTCTCTCGACGCGGTTAGAGTAAGACCTAATGTACTGATTCCTTCTCCGGACCACGTATTGGAAACGGAAGGCTGCCATTACCACGTGCACCACAGTCTTCATTCTCCGTAGTCCACGAGACTTGTACTTGCGAGTGTTGGTGGTGGCTGGAGGAGCCCCCATCTCGGCCATCATGACCAGAGCTGCCTGCTGCGTCTGGAAGAAGGCGTCCACCTGGCACTTGAGGTAGTTCTTCTGGAATACGAGGGCTTTGCGGTGGACCTCCGCCTCCCGGTACCTCGCATACAGTCTCATTAGCTGAGGGGGGAATGAGGTTTCATACCAAAAATGCAACTGAAGTGCCTTTATGGTACATCAATGTGCCAGTATAATGAATTTAGTGTTACAAAGACGGAACTACCATTTTTTGCTTTACACCATTTGCATTACATAGAGCACTGCAAGTCTACAACAAAGTACTGGGCATTACAACCAAAAAGAGGTTGGAATTATACAACTTGTACAGCAATAAGTATCACCTTAGCCTGGAGGAGGTCCAGGGGTAGAGTGGGGTGTGAGGGACTGGAGTCTGAGGCAATCAGTTGTTCCTCTAGTCCAGCAAATTCCTCTTCCTTGTTTGCCAATGCCTCACTAAGTCTTGCAACCTCCTCCTACCAGTGAAACAACAACCGAATTACACAAACACTCATTATTGGACGGGAGGAGCGAGCCCACCTAGTCATTTGTTTGGCTAGAATTCAGGACACATTCTTCACGAAATTATGCACGTCTTTTTATTACTAAGGAAATATCTGTTTCTAAGCTAGGTACTAATACACACTATCGCTGTAGTTTGCACAGAAGCCAGGTGTTAAGGTGCTTGGACTAAATTAGGATACATATTCATGTGACTGGGAAGAAATTTCCCATACACACCACTGTGTCAACATCACTACTTACTCTGTCACGAGAAGTCTTCTTTTGAAGAGAAGTGATTTGAGTTTGGAGTCCAGAAACTGTGGCTTGGAGCTGCTGCTTTTCCCTCTGTGCCTCTGACACTGTCTCTCTTTGCTTCTGCAGAGGAGCAAACACTAGTTGGGCACCACACCACAAGTACCATTGGGATGGAAATACTGTACATGTGTATTTGGTTTGTCTGTCTATGTGTGTTTTTTCAGGCTGTCCCACAAGCTAAACTGCCAGCACAAGGAACATAGCACCCACACTATAGCGTTCCTTTTACTATGTGCATAGTACTGTACTTGCAGTGTCAGCCTGCACACATACCTCTGAGGTAGCTTGCAGCTGATGTAGTTGTCTTCTAAGTTGGTCCACTTCCAGTTGCCTCACAGTCTCCTCTCCAGCTCTACTCTCTCCCTCAGCACGGAGACTAGATAACTGTACACAATGATCAAACGTACACACGTCTATCTTAGTTATAGCTAATACATACGTTTACTACGTATCATGCAATTCATTTCGCGATACTTTGCTACACTCTGCCAACATTCATGATGATATTCAGGTTTGTAGTACATTCGAAGGCTGAGGTACACAAAAGTGGTGGACACCAATAAAATCACAGCCACACAGACAGTATGTCACGATCCAACACAAATCACAGCTCACCATGCTCTGTAAGGAGGAGATGTGCTGTTGATCAGTCTGGCAGCGGCTCTCAGTGCTGCCAGCTCTCCCTGGACCTTGGCCAGGGCCACCTTCTCCTGCAGGACTCTGTCTACCGTCTCTGTCAGCTCCCTCTCCTTGGCCGCGAGACTGGAGCGAAGGCCCACCACCATCCTCCGCTCATTCTCCAACAGCTGACTGTAGTGCTCCCCCTGAACAAGAGAGAGGACCTATACTTTGATATGAACTATGTACACAGTATGAAAAGAGCAGTGGAACATCTGTATTACATCCTCTGACATAATTTGTAGTGGGCGGACAATCTGCTGTGATTTGTTACACTACATAGGGGCTAAATTGAGAAAGATGGAACTTAACAATAGGGCCCAGCAAAAGAATGCTTACATATTCCTTTTTGTACAGTGTGTGTTAATAAGAATATGTTAGAATTTGATCACAGCTGCTGAGATGGTCATGCTCTGAGCTTCATGTATACTATTACCTCCTGACTTAAGTAGATGCAATGAGAACTACCTGTTCTCTGTTGTCAGCCTCCAGAGACTGCAGGAGTGCCTGTACCCTGCCCAGCTCGGCATCTCTCTCCCCCCTGGCCTCCCCTGCCCTCCTCCCTCTCTCCAGCTCCCTCTCACACTCCTCCAGTCTCTGTCTCAGCCGTCTCCTCTCTGCCGCGTCAGCACCCCTGGCCTCCTGGGACTCCTCCAGCTGGCCCTGTACCTCTGACAACCGGCCAACCATCTCATCCTTGGTGGCCCTCTCCACCTCCAACGCTTCCTGGATACCATGAACGACAATCCTGTTACGTAACCACATGTGAATACAATGTGTCGGATACCATTATAGTTATATTTAGGCAGCTACAGATACTTACAGATTGCATGGGTGGAACATTTTCTAGGCAACCGACAAGTTTAGTGCCCTAGTATATCCAGTATATAATGCCTTAAAACCAGGTAAAGAAGTTAGTTATCTAAGCTGGTGATTGCTAGGCAAACTTTTCCTAGCCCTTTACTATAATTTATGCCTCGATTCTGGTAAAGAAGTTAACTTTTCATGCCCTAGTCTATCCTTGTACATATGCCTAATACGTGGTAAAGAGGTTATGGTGTCAGTTTGACCATTGCTGTTGGGAAGTAGAACATGTACCCTGCAGTGAAGCCAGTGTTGCCTGGTGTTGCAGGTGAGTTCTGCCCTGTCGCTGTCCCATCTCTGACTGGGACTGAGTCAGCTCATGAAGAGCTTTATCCAACTCTGCCTCCTTCTCTTTCGAAGCTCTTAGCTCCTAGAAAAGAGAGAATCATGTTTTGTATAGAATATATGCACATTTGCCAACTGAGAACGTAGCGCATGGCAAATATAATTGTAAGGGTATAGTAGTAGCAAATGATGTTATACTACTGAATGATATCAGGCTAGACTAATACACTGTCTCCCACGGAGCTGAGGGGTTCTCGAAACCACACCATAGACCAGTGCTAGAAGTCAACCTGGTGTAGGGAGGAGATGGTGTGAGCGGATCGCTCCAGAGAGCCCTCTGCCTCCTGGTACTCCGCCAGACGAGACTGGGCCTCCTCCAGGTCAGAGGTCAATGATTTCAGGAGTCTCTGAAGACCTTTGACCTCTGTCTCCAGCTGCGAAACTGCGGCTAGCTTCTCTCTCTCCAACTGAGCACCTCGCGAGGACTCTGCCTCCACAGATGCTCTGAAAAACAACACATGAACACACACTAGTCTATGCACTCAGCGGGCATGAAGCGACTGTCATCACTGATTTAGCTTTAGGTTTCGCTTATGCAAGAAGCAAAGTAATTTAGGGGAATGAGAGAAGGTTCAGCTTAAGATGGTTATTCCAGGAATGAAACAGTTAGCTTAGGTGGATAAAAATTCAGTAGAGTTTAGCTTAGGTGGGTGGAATGTTAAACATTCCACTAGTAGATTAGGGGACTGGAACTAATTGTAGCCTTTTGCAACCCTCCTGATTGATAGGCTATAAAGTAGCTAAGCCAAGGCTATTATTAGTCTGGTGCACTATTTTCACCTTTGTTGTGCATTGATTTCACTTTGGTGCCGTAAGCGATGTTCTGCATCTCTTACTGCATGGAGAGACACACATGGTACACCATGTTGTTCTAAAATGCACACTCACATTCGATTCTCAACTGCTCATTCTCTTCAAAGACTTTCTGGGTTTGAACTGATACACCTTCAGACTGTGGACATAATTATACACAACAGCAGTGGACAGTATAACAAAACATGTATAATTCATGTGCCAACAACTACGTAGGTCTCGAGGCAAAGGCAAAGGCAAACCAAACAACACGACGATACCCTGGTTAACTGAACTCGCATGTATCCCATTCATTCTCTTTCGATAGCTTTTGTATGCATGTTGTTCATAACATAAATCGCTGCTAACAACCCATATACTATAGTGATGTACTACAGTTGAAGCACCTGTTGTTGTAGTTGGGTCTGGAGGGAAGCAATGGTGTCTCTGAGAGAGTCGGTGTCTCTGGCCAGAGCCTCTCTGTCACCAGATATCAACTGAGTCAGTAGATCACTCACTGCTGACAACTGCAGACAGAGAGGTAGCATAGTGCTCAATTCTTGAAGACAACATTTCAAGCGATACAGATTATGTAGTGTGAGAGCCAAAGATTAACTTTGTATGCAGAGTCCGACTAGTTGTGGCACTACTAGACATCACTCAAAACACGGAAAACACTATGGGGGATGACTTCAGAAATGGTAGCCAAGTACATAGCTACACTTTCAAATGAAAAGCACTAAAGTGCAAACCATCGGCACACTAGACGCGCGCGGATGTCTGCATTGCGCATGTGCGGGTCGGTACGCTAATGATGGGCTGGGCTATGCTACTCGTGTCGTAGTCTCTAGCTAACTCTCTGAGTGTTAGGTAGCGTCTTAGGCATAGAAATACTCGACATCGCACTCTGTGGTGACTTCTGTGCCTCCACGGCACGCGAACAGGGCGGAATGAGGCAGCGGTGGTAATTTGATATGGCTTTTTCGCTTTGTTTCACACCATAACTCTCAAAGCACAGCAGTTTCAGGGAAAACCTACATATCTTTTCCTATACCCGACGCTGAATACATGGTATAGTTTGTGGAGCGATTCATGGTGTCGAGGTTCGGACAGACAGACAGACAGAGCAACTACCGTAACCCTCGCTGCGCATGCGCGCCAAGGGTAATAACTTTTGCATGGTTGTTACATAGAGACCTGTTGGGGAAGTTGGGTGGCGTTGCCCTGGTCGAGAGAGGAGAGTACAACAGTCAGCTCCTGTACCAGTCTCTGAACTGCCCCCAGGACACCTACCATCTCATCCTCACCACGCTCACCAACCTATGTACATTCAGTGAGTAGATTGTAGACAGTACAAAGAGGGGGATATTATATACTAGTGTGAATACAATTGCATATCTGGTAAGAGGGATAGGATGTAACCTGTGCACAAGTCGCTTACATGATTGTCCGTGCAAAAGAAGTGCTCTGCTTACGTTTTTTACCATTTGTACTACGTAGAACATAGGGGCTCAACAATTGCAGAGGTATGTTTGTACGTATCACTCCACTCACCCTCTCAGAGAGAGCTCCCACTACTTGACTGAGACTGTTGACTGCTGCCGTCAACTGCTCTACACTCAAATGAGGTAACTGACTGCAAAACCAATGGTAAACAGTAGTAAGAATTAAGCTACAGGCAATGAATTTCTCACGCTTGCATTTTTACAATAATGCTGTGTGGCAGAGTACAGTATACGCTATGAATGGTGGGGTTATCCACAAACAGACTTGTTCTTGGAGAGTTGGTTGACAATGTGTGCCTCCTGGGACAGGACTGGAGCCAGATCTGCTATCCTCCTCAGAATAGACCTCGAACCACTCTCTTCCAGCAGCACTGGGAGCAACATCACAGAGAGTTCAGTGTTTTTACGTGTTTGAGAATGCACTTTGTCCCACATTGAAAAGCAGGGTTTTTCTAATGTCACACAGAAACTATGCATTGGATTCGTACCAAACCAAGACCAAAGGAACAGGAGATTAAAGAGCTACAAAATGGTACTAGCACTCCGCAATGAGTAAAGGGTAATGAACATGCGTTCTCAACGTGAATCCACTAATGTGTGCATTTGCTCAAGAAGAATTCCTGTGCACAAGATAGGCAGTCTTACTTGTGCTAGTACTGGAGAGAAGGGAGAGAGCTGATGAGCTGCTGAGTTGCTGCATACCCTCCTCCTTTCCACCAGCCAACATCTCAGCCTACAGAATGAGACAAAAAATATCAACACCTACGTAGCTGTATATACATACCCTACCTACCTACCTACCCAACCTACCCTACCTACTCTACTACCAAATAAACTACCCTCCTCATCCCTTGTATATACCATACGCTATATTGACGGTTATTGCCTAATAATTATTATAGTGACAAGGTGCCTTGTGCACCTGTCACCTGTCCTTGTAAAAGACTAAGATTTGAATCACGAAATATGAAAAATAATGACCAGAAAATTTTGTGACTCAGAAACACAAGTGAAAACAAGATGCTGCCTAACCTGACTGGTTCCAGTGTGTGCTCTCCCGTCTCCTTCAGCTGTCTCTCTAGACCTCAGCTGGGCCCTGGTCTGCTGGAGAGCCTGTTCCTGGTGAGACCTAGCCAGTCGCAGTGCCTCCAGCTCTCGATCTGCAATCAATCAGCGTCGTATTACCACATCAAATGCTATCCTCTGCAGTTGAACCTCTGATAAGGGAACCTCGGAGATAGCGATGACCTCTCTACAATGGACACTTGTTTTAAACCAGTTCTACTTTAGCGAGGGTTGATGACACCCAAGTCTTTTACAACCTAGAACATACTTCAGCATGTATCTTCACCTTTGCTGGTGAGTGTGTCTCTGAGAAGAGTGATCTGATTCTCAAGAGATCTGGACAACTCTTGCTGCTGTAGCAACTCTCTCTGCAGCTTGGACACCTATAGCCATACATGTAATACCAACAGTCCCACATGCAAAGTGCATAGCTTCGAAAATAATAATAGGTGTTAATTTGGGGGGACTCCCCCTTGGAGTTTAAGTGAAACTTTGAAATTCACACCAACATAGAATGTTCCCTTTCTCGTTTTTGCTATATGTATTACCCCCCTTGGATTAATGATAGCTTGCATGTTTCAACAACATGGGGAGGTAGAAAGGCAAAACAAGTCAACTACACCCAGGACAACTCTTTTCTTCCAAGGAAAAAGGATGAGCTGCCCTGGGTGGGATTCGAACCAACAACACTCTGATCTCTAGGTATTCTTACTTCCACTATATGCATATGAGTCACCCCATGCAGCAAACCATTTCAGGAGGTGATTCCTGAGGTGACAGAGTGTCTTCCTCTTCCTCACTTTGACTCCTATCGTCTTCCTCCTCCTCCCCCTTCTCCCTCCCCCCTCCTCTCTCCTAAGTGACACAGAAGCGAGAGAACGTACTACATCGAACGGCTCAACATTGAAAACTGCCACACAAAATAGAGCAAGGAAATCTTGCCGCAGCACACGTGTAACAAGACACAAGACATACTACATATTTTATGGTGCCAACACAATATTAAAAAAAAAAAAAGCTCCAACTTGCAAGGTACAAAATGAAGACCAAAGATTAAACAGGTGAATGTTACTGTAGTTCGTTCAAACCAATGTCACAAATTAAAGATTAGCTAATACAAACAGTATAATGACATGGGTTGTTTGTTTGAGGTTCCTCCTGGGCACCGCTACCCTCTCTCCTGCAGAGCTGGGACGGTGGCTTGTTGCGGTCGGAGTCAGAGGTCGCTGGGGCCTCCGATCCACTAAGTTCTCGTTATCATCGCAGGCCGTGATAGTCAGAGGACAGAGCCGAGGAGAAGGAGCCAACTGGTGCTCACATACACCAACCCAGTCCTCGTCGCAGCTGCATGTCTCCCGGCAGCGAGACCCTCCGGGCCTCTCTCAGAGCACAACAATCGGCTCGTAAGCCTCCAAGCTCTCGAACCTAATCTCCCTCTGTCTCCAACGGCCTCCAGTTCCCTCTGTCTATCCCACCACCCACCACCAATCCCTCCAGGGCCACTGAGCTGGATAGTATCTGTTCTCCGGTGCAAGCCCCATCTAGTTGACCGCTCCGCACACGTCCCTCGGGCGCCGCAGCTCCCCTGTAGGGAGAGATCGAGAGTCCAGCATCTGGACCCGCAGTTGGCACTGAGTCTGCAGTGACTCCAGAGTTTGATTCTGGGCTGGATACTGTCCCTTGCCCTCCTCAACTGCTCCCGGGCCTCCCCGTCGCATAGCTGTGAGGGTTTCCTGAGCTGCCAACAGCTGTCTGTCTCAGACTCTCTACCTCAGTCTTGGCCTCTTCAGTCGCACTACCACACCTCTGCACAGTACACAACGCTACACATCTTTATAATTGCGGGAGGAAAACTGAGGCAAAAGCAAGTCCACAGCTCCCGTAGTGAGGGAAAACTGTCTTGATAAACGTATCCAGCGTACGCTGAATTAGAAGTGAATGAACGTGGCCGAATGCACAAGACTAAAGGAGAACAAAATGTCTATATCCTACTTGCACACACTATGCACCTACGTACGTGACAAGCTGTTCATCAGAGAAATAATCTACATTACGTGGCACCTGAGATAAGGCGCTTCATTTTTCATTTTTTGTTTCCTCTCTGCAGTGGAGATAACTCAACTTACGATGGTAATCAGGCAGACCTGAAATACAGTATAAAAGTTCACCTGAATACCGCCAAAAAGAATGGGATTCACAAATGTGGTTAAAAATATCAGAGTGTAATAGAGTAGAGTAGGGTAAAGGCATTGAAGTTTTTGGACTCATACTGTAAGAGATCTTGGTTTCCTAGCACACTAAAACATTATGAGCGAGCCTGTTCACCTCGGCCGCTACAGTGATGTAGCACTGTAGCCGTGCAACTCACAAACCATCAGTAGGTGTGACAGTCTTCTACATAATGACAATGGGAAACAGTGACAACAACACATTGTGTAATTAGTAAGGAGGGGAATAATAGTGGAGCTCCTATAATCTGGACACCAATGAAAGTGGTTATTTACCATCTCCATAGAGCGTTGCACAGTTTCTCTGAATGCCACCCAACATCAACCAACCAAATAGGCTAAGTGGAGGTTACAAAGGCGAAGAAGCCTATAAATAGAAGGTGTTGCAGGATTAAACGTGTAAATTCCTATTCAGGGTTGTCCATATAGTAGACGGGGTATTACCTGATTAGAATGGAGGGGCATAAAGTGGAATTACTTACCAATG